CCAGTCCGAGCGATTCCAAACAATTTTTTTTTATTATCTTTGTAAGCTTTTGATCGAGTTTTTGTTATATGTTGGTATTGTTGTAGGCTGATCGATCTACTTCGCCATGTGCAAGAAAAATACTTTTTTCTCCACTTCTTTGCCCAACGTTTCGCTAACTACCTTAGCATCATCAGGGACGATTCTTTATTGTAAATATCAACAAAAAACAGAGGAAAACAAGATTATTTAAATAGAAATTATGAGTTTTTTGTTCAAATAAAAATTAAAGATTGGTAAACAAAAATAACACAATCACAGGTTTTTAAACTTAATTTTTTTTTTTTTTTTTACCGCATGACTTACATGTAAACTTAGGTTAAGTTGGTTTCACATCAATGCACATACATGTAAAAACATTGAAAAACATATAAAACATATAAAAAACACAAAAAACGTTAAATACATTGAAAAACATAAAGTATTGCTACCATCCATCCGTGGTAATTTCGTCAAACTAAACTAAACTATTCGCTACAAACATAACATGTAAGCAGCCGCGATATCGTCCGTGTCCTCCTTCTTGTTGATTGTTTTTTCCCTTTTCTGTAGTATACGTAAACTCTCTATTGTGTATCTTGTCCGTTCCCTCTTCTCCTTGTCCAATATTTTAACGTTAGCTAGATCAGCCGTATGGCCACTGGTAAGTACGTGTTGTGCTAATGCTGTGCTGTTCTTCTTTTTGTTTATGTCGGCTTCGTGCTCGGAAAGGCGAACGCCTAATGCTCGCTTAGTTGTCCCTATGTAAACTTTGTTGCAGTTTTCGTTTTCGCTGCCTTTACATGTGATTTCATACACCACGTTGTTTTGTTGGTGGGGCTTGATCGGTGTTTTTGTTTGTGTGAATATCGAAGATAGTGTGTAGTTGGTTCGGTATGCTAATCTTATATTAGGGTTGTTGGTGTTTATTTCGCGGTCAAGTTGTTGGTAGAACTTAGGAATGTACGTCACACTGTGGTATCGCTTTGTTCCGTCTGTTGCTTTTGTGGTTGGCGTTTTGTTTTGATTATTGTTTATTTCTGTTACTTTATGTTCGATTAGGCTTTGTATTAGACGGTTTGGGTAGTTATTGCTTGCTAGAATTTTCTTTATTTTGCATATGTTCGTCTCCTTGAATTGTTGGTGGCTTATTGTAAATATTTTGTGTATTAAATTTTTGGCTGTGTTAATCTTATTCTTAAAGGGTTGCGATGACAGATAATTTATTAGGAGCCCAGAGGAAGTGGGTTTTGCGTACCAGTTAAGTGCAATAGAATCATTTTTTCGGTGGATCATGACATCTAAGAATGGTAAACAGAGGTTTGCTTCTGATTCCATTGTAAATTGCAGCTTTGGATGATATTTGTTAAGTGTTCTGAGAATAATGTCCGCGTCCTTTTGTTTTACTATAGCAAAAATATCGTCTACGTATTTAACAATGAATTTGATGTCAATATTAAAATTTTCCTTCAGGTCCAAAATAGTGTTATCCAATAGGTCGTCCATTACTACGTCAGCTATAGTGGGTGAAAGAGGGTTACCCATTGGCATCCCAAAGGTTTGAGCGTAGAAACCTCCATTGCAGGTGAAGTAGTTGTTATCCTTCAAACAGAAATTCATGATATTTTGAAATTTATTTTTGGGTATTTTTGTGTAATGTTGAATTTTATCCCACTTGTTCATGATAATTTTCATAGCTAGATGTGTCGGTATGTTGGTGAATAAGGAGATCACATCGAATGACACCAACAAATCTTCTTCTTCTATTTGGATGTTTTCTAGCCTTTCTTTTAATTGAAACGCATTTCTTATGTTGTATTCCTCTGAGGTAAACTTTCTAAGAATTTTGCCTAAATGCTTAGATAAACCATAGCACGGGACATTGACAGATGAGGAGATTGGCCGTAAAGGCAAGCCCGGTTTGTGAATCTTTGGCAACCCATAGAGTCTAGGTGCAGTTGCTGCTGTGCATGTGAGCTGTTGTTTTTCGCTTCTGTCAATAATTTTGTTTTTGTACAAGTCATCTATTATGGTATTGTTTTTTCTTTGTAGTGTAGCTGTCGGGTCATTTCTTATTGTTTTGTAAGTATTTTCGTCTTCAAGTAGTTTTCTCATTTTTTCCGTGTAGTCCGCTTTATATAATACCACAGTTTTGTTTCCTTTATCCGCATCAGTAACAATAATTTCATCTTTGTGTTGTTTTAAAAAAATTTTGGTTCTATTAAAAGTCTCTAATATGAACTTCTCCGCTGAGTTGTGTTTAATGTTCCTTTTAAATTGAATTATTCGGTTACTCAATTTGCATCTCGCTGTTTCCTTGGTTCTGTTGTCTTCTATGTGCTGTATTAACTGTTCCATTTCTGCTATGGTTTGGACCGGTTTGAGACTAGTCTGCGTTATGGGTAATGCAAATTTTTTGCCCAGGGAAAGCAACCATTTACTTTCATCGGGGAATTCTATATTCGTTTTGTTGACGAACCAATCGTTGTTTAGGTGGATTCCCAATTTTCGTAGTTGCTGTTGTTTTAGCTTTTTTAGTTTGGAGTTGTGTATTGATTCGCGCTCTTCTGTTTTTTCCTTTTTTATCGAAGATGTCATCTGTCAAAACTTGGATTTTTTCGTGATTCTGTCTAATCATGCACTTTTTCAAATCATTGTATCTCGGTTTTTGCTCATCGTAGAGACTTCGCCTTAACGTCGTTTTAAAGCTAAAGATACGGGATTAGCATTTCCTTATATAAGATGGTCTTGATTGTCCTCAAGCTAACTTAGATTTTAACAGTTGATTTTTTTGAAGTTGATGTGCATAGTGAAGACCAGTAAATTGGGGATTTAAAATTACTCCATCGTAATCCTTGTTTAATTCGCTAAAAAAACAGGTTTAAAGAAATTGGCGTTTTTCAAGAGCTACTTATACTCGTTTTTATGGCGAGATGGTGTTTTTGTAAGATTAAAAAATGTCTTGTTTTTTTTTTTTGAAATTTATGATATTTTTAGCGTTAAAAATCTTGGAATACCTATCCAGAAATAATATTTGTACAGCAGGAGTTTTCTAAACCCCTAGAGATGGGCGTGGCAATTCAGGGACAAAAGTTAGCAAAAAGCAGATTTTATTGCGGATTTCGGCAGAATACCACTTCGTTAACAGCATTTGTTCCGCAATATAGATTTTCTGCCGAAATGCACAATACATCTAAATTTTTAAACTTTGTGTTTAAAATTGCTACGCTCATTTCTAGAAGATTTTTTGTTTGAGAAAGCTGTCGAACGAATTCTGTTAACGAAGTGATATTCTGCCGAAATCCGCAATAAAATCTGCTTTTTGCTAACTTTAGTCCCACAATTTCTAAAATTGGGAAACTTTCATGAACCTGAAGAATATTTTAATTCAACAACTTTTTCCTATCATTTGCTGCATCTAATGATGGATCAATATGAATATCCTTACAATCGATTAACGCGTGTTCTCTACATTCGTTATCGAGATTTTGCAAGTTCAAAATACATACTGGCCCGTAGTCATAGAGAAGTTAGAAAAAGGTTTTAACGATTAAAATGGTGTTTTATTGTAATCACCATTTTAACAATTTCATAGTCAACTTAAAATGCATTTTATGGCAGAAACAGAATTCCAACTTTAAAATGAGGAGAACGCGATTTTAAAATGGTAAAGTACGGTTTCAAGTTTGGTTTTGTTGTTGAAGTAGTAAACGCAATATCACCCAGGCTCGGACCCCAGTCCGAGCGATTCCAAACAATTTTTTTTTATTATCTTTGTAAGC